CTAACAGGCCACGGACCGGTACCAGGGCTTGGGGACCACAGCTTCATATGCATTAACTCATTTGACCATCCTAACAACCTGGGAGGGTGGTCCCTGCCATTACCATCCTCACTTTACAGATGCGGCAACTGAGGCACAGAGAGGCCAAGCACCTTGCCCAAGGTCACACAGCACGGAAGTGGCAGGACCAGGGGTCCAACCCAAAGTCTGTCTTAGGAACCGTGAGAGTCTGGAAGATGCTAAGTGTGCCCATGGAGTCACTCTTTTTTTTGAGACAGAGTCTCACTCTGTTGCCCTGGCATCAGCCTAGCTCACAGCAACCTCAAATTCCTGGGCTCAAGCTATCCTTCTGCCTCAGCCTACTGAGTAGCTGGGACTACAGGCATGTGCCACCATGCCCGGTTAATTTTTCCTATATATATACATTTAGTTGTCCAGATAATTTCTTTCTAATTTTAGTAGAGACGGGGTCTCGCTCTTGCTCAGTCTGGTCTCGAACTCCTGAGCTCAAACAATCTGCCCGCCTCGGCCTCCCAGAGAGCTAGGATCACAGGCGGGAGCCACCGCGCCCGGCTGAGTCACTCTTTTTATTGGTTCCCCACTATATGCAAGAGGGATTTTATAAAGTGATTTCTGACAGCTCTTCCTGAACACTTGACACAGCCCAAGCACTTCTGTTTGGTTCTGTGCTCTAGTCTCTTCTATCAGCTAAGTCCCTGGGCACGTGCCGGGGCACAGAGTGGGCAGGACAGCCGAGGTCAGACGGGAGGGGGAAGGGCGACAGTGGCCATCGAGGGATCAAACGTGGTCAGTGCCCCGAGACCCTTCAACAAGGGAGTTTGTCTGGGCAGACAGAGAATTCGCCCCTGCGGAGGTGGCATGTGTGCCCCACGTGTGCCCTGATGGATTGGGAGGCCTGCGGGGAGCAGCAGGAGCGGGTGTGGGAGCCGGTGTGGGACGCGCGTGAGAAGCAGGGCGTTCCCGGACAGAGAGGGCACGGCTGGTCGGGGTGAGGCCCAGGGACGGAAACACATTTTCTGGGCCTGAAGTTTCTATCCTTTAGGGTTCTCTTCAGGAAAGTGAATCCCAGATTATGGATACAAAATTGCTCAGCCTCTCCTGGGCCTTGAAAGAGGCCTCAGAGATTGAGCTTCATCAAATTCATGGAAAATGTGCCCCCGGCCAGGCCTGGGTATTAGTGAGTGGCCAAATACCTAGTAATACCCTAGACACACACATACACACACACACTCAAACACACACATACGTTCTGAGCAGAGCATGTGTTATGTTTTGAATAAATGACTAAATTAACTTCTATTACTACCGCTACCAATAATACTACTTGCTGAGTGCCCGCCGACACCTTCCGTGTGCCCGGCACTGTTCTAAGAGCTTATTTAATCTTCATTACAATCCATTCCCATTGTCCAGAGGAGGAAAATGAGGCACAGAGTGGCTAAGTAACTTCCTCAAGGGCACACAGCAGGAAGTGGACCCGGCAGCTGGGCTCAGAGTCCGTGGCCCGACCTGTTCTAGGGGTGCGCCCACCGTCCAAGGCAGCAGTCAACACGTCAGCCAAACTCTCCCCGACACCAGAGCTCAGGTTCCAGAAGAGGGGGGCACGTACTAAAGCCACACATAAGTAAATTACACTATGGATTAAGTAAATTACACTGTGATAAGAGTATGGGGGAAACACGGCAACAAGTGGGACAGGGACTCCAGGGGCTGCGATTTTAAGTAAGCGAGCGGGGAACGGCCTTGCAGAGAAGGTGACGTTCGAACAAAGACTTGAAGGAGGTGTGGGAGTCAGTGATGCCGGGAGCTGCCAGTCTGGGGATGGGGGTGGGGCAGGGGGAGCAGCAGGGTAAACAGAGGATCCGGATCCAGGGCGGATGGAGGTAAGCCCAGGGGCTGCAGGAGCCTCCAGGGACACACGAAGGTAGCCTGAGGGTGTGGGTGGGGCCTTCCCAGAGGAGGTGATACCAGAGAATCTGTAAATTTTGATGCAATCAGCAGGCTGGAGTTAGGCAGGACAAAGGAGGGACAGGAAGCAGAGATTGGAGGTGGAGCAGGAAGGGCACCCAGGCAGGAGGCACAGCAGAGGCAGGACACAGCCTGGTCCCTCAGGAGAGGAGGGGCAGCTGGAGCTGCAGAAGCACAAAGGAACACGGACAGTTGAACCAGACATGAAAGGGAGGCCAGACCTCGAGTCTCCAACCAGCACAAGGCTGCCAAGGAGCCACGGGAGGGCTGTGAGCCGGGCAGGGCAGGTCAGCTCTGGGTGCAGGAAGACCCCCAAGGCTGGGTAGAGATGGGCTGGAGGGCAGAGACTGGGAGCCAGGGAGGAGGATGGGGGAGGGTCCAGGTGACACGATGAGGCCAAGAGACGGAGCTGAGAAGTGATGGCTGAGGGAGGTGAGTTCCGGAAGGATGGGTGGGATCGTGCCGGGGCCTGGCCCAGTGGTGATTAGTGGTGATTAGGCACCTGGCAGTGTCTGAATCACTTATTTGTTCAGAAAGGGACATCAACAGGCACGTCCAGTGACAGGATGTAACGCGGGCCGCTCTGGGGCACTGTGGGAGGGGAAGACGGCGCCAGCCCTCTGCAAAGGACAGGAGCTGACACTATGCTGTCCTCACACTTCCGCCCTCCGTTCTCTCACTGAGCACGCTGCAGGCACTCGTGGCCAGGCTCTGTGCCGGGCGATGCTGGGACCAGCGCTGCGTCAAACATGGCCCTTCCTGGTGGGGGAGAGAGATCTGAGTACAGCCTGCCCAGGCCAGGGAGGCCAGGGCTGGGGCAGAAGGACAAGGCCCAGGGGGGTCAGAGGAGTCCAAAGGAGGGACTCCAAGAAACAGAGACGAAGGCAACCAGGAGAGTCGGGTCCCAGGACCCCAAGAGGAGTGTGTCTCAACAAGGCTGGGGGCAACAGCCCTGTCACAGGCTGCCATAGGCATCCTTAGGCTGAGCAGCCATGGAGTGGAACTGGGAAGAGCAGAGTCTGCAGCTGGGCTTGCCTGGGTTTCAGTCCCGGCTCTGCCACTGACTAGCTGGGAGATCTGGCACGTAACAACCTCCACAGGCCTCAGTTTCCTCATCATGGGATTAATAATATAGAGGGTACTGAAAGGACGGAATGCAGTAATCTCTCTAAAGGAATCAGAACACTGCCTGGCACTTCCTTAGTAAGTACCCACTAAATATTAGCTATTGTGATCCCTGATGTTTTTATGCCCGAGTCTGTCTGTCTCCTGTACCTTCCTCCCCACTCTACTCCCCACGTGGGCAAGGCCAGTATCAGTGTTGTCAACTTTGTGGCCTGTCCCACACTATGCCTCCGGGGTGCCAGACCGCATGCTGGGCGATGCTGGGGACACAGGGGGAAGTTCCCAGGCTGATGGGAAGGACAGACACAGACGGACAGTCACCAACTCGGATGAGGCCAAGCATTGAGAGAAACTGGCCTGAGAGACCATGTCTGATTCACCTCTGTCCATCCCAGCTTCCCTCCGGCATGAGCCAGGCCCTCGGGGACACTGCCCCTCGCCTCCTCCACAGAGAATGTAGCCACTCCCCCAGCTCAGGCAGGCTGGCCCCTTGAACTTTCATCTCTAGCAAACACACTTCTCCCCCTCTTCCTGGCTAAAGCCTCCTCGCTCGCCCCGCGGCTGCGGAGAGTGAAAGACAGTGTCAGGGTCCCCCTGATCCTTGTCTGGCCCTATCAGAGCACATTTCGGGTACTGCAATAATCAGTTGGTAGGCAGCACAGCCTAGTGGGCGAAAGCTTGGCTTGTGTGCAAAGCACGAGTCCAGGTGAGAAATCAGAGGAACCTGGATAGCACCCTTCCCTCGCTGAGTGACCCCTCTGTGCCTCAGTTTGTCGGTGTGCTAAAGCGGGGCCATGACTCCCTTCAGCGGGCAAGAAACAGACAAAGGAACTCGCCCTGCACAGTCATCAAGAGTGAGTCCAGAACTAGGGAAAGGAACAGGGCCGTGACCCCGGAGGCATCGGACGTCAGAACCTCACAGTCTTCGATCACTGCCCCCAGGTGTAACGTGGACATTTGGGGAAGAGCGGCAGAGGGCAAAGGTTACGAGAAGAGCCCCACACTGTGTGCGCTCGTGACCCCGGAAGCTCACGGCTGCGGGACTCAGGGAGGTGGGAGAGGGGGACCCGGTCACCTTCACGGCGTAGTCGATGACCCTCTTGACAGCCACGAGCGCGCGCAGCTCCGCCATCTTCCCGCCGCCGCCGCCTGCTGGGTCAGTCCGCCCTCTCGGTCCCGACTCCCGCCCTCTGTCCCTCTTGGCGCCTGCGCGCAGCGCCGCCAACCAGTCAGGCATGTCCCCGAGGCGGAGCCCTCCTCCGCGACAGGGACCAATCGGGAGGCCGGAGGGCAGGGAGGCGTGGCAAGCGGATGCGGACCAATGGCAAGCCGATGCTGAGGAGCGGGCGGGTCGCGCGAGGACAGGGACAGGCCTAGCGAAGGGGGCGTGGCGGAGAACTAGAGGAAAGGTCGTGCAGGGCGGGGCGCGCCGGGAGCAGAGATCCTCCCGGTCCTCCTACACTCCGCCCAGTAGCTCCGTGTCTATTCTCTCCATTCGGGCTTCCAACTCCTCCCCGCCCCTCCAAGTCGTCCTGCCGCCCCATTCTCTTCGTGCCTATGTTCCTCGTCCTCTCCATACCCGTGTTCTTCCCTGTCCACGTCTACACTTTCCCTCCATGTCGCCCCCACACCCTCTCCATCAGCCTACGTCCCCTCATGGCCCCGCTCCCCCTTGTCTCCGTTCCCCTTCAAATCCATGCCACGTGTCCACTCCACGTTCGTGTCTCCATGTCCATAACCCCTCTCCCCCGTCTCCACGTCCTCCCTGAGCCTCTGTGCACCCCAATATCTGCCACCCCGTGCTCGCGTCCCCACGTCCCCCAGAAAGGCACGCGGAGCAACGGCGCTAGAAATTACTCCTTTATTCTGCCCCAGGCAGGCTGCGGTCACAGGCACACGGGGAATCCACTGATGGCGTCGGTGCTCTGCACGATCATGTCTGCCAGCAGAAAGCATAAGCCTGGCGGAGGGGAGAGGAGGGCGGGTGGAGGAAGGTGGGTCCTGGGGCAGATGGCCAGGCAGGCCCCGGGGACTGGGATTTGGGGCTCCAAGGGCGTCTCCGCCGGGTCTGCGCGATTCGGGAATGGAATGTGTTGTGGAGCCCCTGGGGGGCCACTGCAGGGTTTCCTAGGAGGGCAGCTAGGGAGTCTCTGGGGAGGAGGGTCGTCTGGGCAGTCTCCACCCTCTTCCTGCTTCCAGGTTACCCGCGAGAATTGAGAAGGGTAAAGCCAGCCACCCGGAAAAATAGGACCAGGAGAAGAAGACGTCGCGGTTCCACGTATTCTTCACCGTGTAGCCTGCCAAGGCGATCAGCAGCAGCAGCCCTGGGCCCCGCCAGGCGGCCTGGTGAGCTTGGCCAGGTGGGGCTGCCCCAGGCCCCGCCCCGGACAGGCCCCGCCCCTTCGGGCCCACCCCCCCTTGGCCTATCGGGCCACGCCCGTTTCCTCCCAGCCCCGCCTCTGGCCCTGTCCCCTTCCTGCTCCTCCTCCTCCTTCACTTGGAACCCCGCCCCTCGGCTCCCGGGCCGGTTCCTCAAGCCCCGCCCCCGGGCCCCCAGGCCCCGCCGCACTTCCCAGGCCCACCCTCTGCCTGGGGCCCGGGGCCTGCGGCCGTCTCACCGCAGAGGAAGTGGAGGGCGCTCGTACTCTGGCCCCGCAGCGACTCGCCCTGGTGGCACTGGATCCGCAGCCCCATCACCAGGCCCAGGATGCCGAAGCCCGCCGCCAGCACCATGCACGCCCCGGTCACGGCCAGCGTGGCTGGGGAGATCGGGCCGCATCAGCCCCGCGCCGGCGCCGCCCCTGCCGCGACAGCTTCGGTCGCAACCCGAAGGTCTGCTGGCCACCACCCCCACCAACGGTCCGTGGCTGAGAGCCCCGCTCTCCCCGCCCGGAGTCGGGCGTTTGGATGGGGACCTGTCAGCAGGTCATGTCAGGACCGGGGGTTAATGTCCTGACGGGGACAGTGAGGTGCGGGGGAGGAGACTGGTCCACAGGAAGGGGGTCGTGGCGGCCTGGGTCGCGGTGGGGCAGCTGGAGCGGAGATGGGTGGGAGGCGTGGGGGCAGGGCGCCTCGCCGTGTGCCCCGCGGGTGTCCCGAGCGGTGGGGCCGGCAGGCTGGCTGCGGGGGTCTCAAGTGCGTCTGATATCTGGGCGGGCGCGTGGGGCCTCACTTTGGCAGGGCATGTTGGAGCAGATGCCGTGATTACACTCCTGCCACAGGCCACTGTGGCCCCCGTGGTGGCGGGTCCAGTAGTTGGTGGCAGTGGAGAGCACCGTGAGGATGCTGGCCAGGAAGCTGAGCAAAGCGCCCCAACTCTGAAGGCTCCGCCTCAGCCCCATGCCACGGAGCTGCTGCCAAGGGCCACACAGGCAGGATTGGCCGGCGCCCCCCTCGCTTGAGGCCCCCGCCTCAGGAGACCTCCCTCCTTACACTCCTCCCTCAGCGCTCCTGCCTGGGCCCCTACTTCTGGGGACCCGAGGACACCCTCCCTCAGGTCGTTCGGGGCCCGGGCCCCTCCTTCAACAGCCCTGCCTGGGAACCCAGGATCCCCTCCCCAGACCCCATCCTCCCTGCTCCAGTCCTCCTACTGGGGACATTGCTACCTCCCCTCTGAGGCCCCTGAGACCTTCACAGCAGGCTTCCCTGCTTAGGAACCCGTCTTCCCAGAGACCTCCTCCCCTAGTGGGATGTCCCTTCCGCCTGTCCAGTGCCCTCCCCACCCTGCACACACACACATCTAAGTGACTCACACGAAGCTCCCCAGGGCTTCTTAGACACAGAGCCCAGAGAAGTGGGGGAAGGGAGGCTGGGTCACTGTGAGGCAGCAGAAGTTCCAGAACCTCCTGCCCTGGCTGCCATTTAAAGGGATACCCCCCCCCACACACACACACACCCCCGAGCAGCTCTCTTAACCAAGTGACAGCCCAGAGTCAGACAGCAGGCCTGGGGGGAGCTTGAGGGCCCTCACATGGTAGACCAGGTTCTTCCAGAAACTGCTCTTCCCTTGACTTGCAAGGCAGCCCACGCCCTCTCGGGCCCCCATGTGTGCTCTTGCTCCTGCAACTCTTCCCCTTCACTCTTAAATGCCGCTTTCTCCTGGAGCTCCAGCCTGCACCCTCCTGCCAGGTGAGCCTCCTCACTCCCGAGGCTTCAGTGACTCCTGATGCTCGGAGAGCAGCCAAAACTCCGTCTCCACCCCAGAGACTCTCCCCTGAGCCCCAGATTCGAGTCTTCACCTGCTCTGACTGTCGCTCAGAGCCCTGACACTCAGACGCATCTCCAGTCAGCTTAGCGTCTTCCACCGAACTGGGGATGGCCCCACCGTCCCACCCAGTTGATCGGGACAGACCCCTGGGCACTGTCCTTGCCTCCTTCCTGCCCCTCACCCACAAAGCCCTTGGATCCCCAAGCCCTGTTCCTCCTGTGCCCCAAACCTGTCTGGCTCATTCCCTCCTTTCCATCTCGGACCCTGGTCTCAGGTCAGGCCTCATCCTCTCCCACCTGTGGCTTTGCCAAGTTCCTCCCTAAGCTTCTGACCTTCCCCCCATGTCCCCAGAGACTCTTTCTGTAACCCACAGCTGACACTGTCCCTCCCCTGCTCACAATTTTCTCCTAACTCCCGACATCCTCAGGAGAAAAGTCCAGCGTGGCATTAGACGCCCCAGCCCCCACCTGCCTCTCCGTCTTCATCTTCTACCACCCCCATCTTCCACATTCTGGCCACAGAGCACTGTTCTCCATCCCCTCAAAACTCCTGATCTTTCCATGACTCCATCTTTGGGCCCCTCTGCCTGGACATTACCTTCCCTTGGCCATCTAGAGGTACCTAAATGTCTCTCCAGCCCTCCATGATATGGTCGGTCTTTCTCGGTGCCTCCCCAGGCCGGGACTGCTGTCTGGCCAGTGTTAACTGCTTTTGTTCTGTCCTGGCCCCTTCCCCAGGCAGGAGCACCCTGCGAGCTGGTCTGGCTGGTGGGCTTTCACCATCCTGGGTCACCCACCATGGAGCCGGCGTGCAGTTGGCTTATGTCTCGGCTGAATTAATCTCAGAATAACCAGACAATCCCAGAGAGTTTTTGTTGAACGAATGCAGAAACAGATGAAGGGGCTGGGGAAGGGTTGGGAGTGAGGGACGAAGGCAGGACCAGGCATTCCCACGGCTCCTGATGAGGCCTTCAGAAGACAGTGGTCAAAACATGGTGCTGCTCTTGCCTTCTGCTCACAAGGTTTCGTAGCCCGGCTGGCGGGTGCCACAGTGAGCACCCAGACTCAGAGAACCTGGGGTGGTCAGAGAGAGTTTAGCGGTTGCCCCTGCCCTGCTCCCTCCAGGTGACCCTCCCGAGCTCCCTGGGGTGGCGGCAGGGCAGTCACCTGTGCAGAGCAGCAGTATTGCTGAGACCCAGCCCAGGTAGAAGGACCAGGAGAAGAAGATCTGGATCTGGGATGGTGGAGGCTGTCCCCACCGCTCGCTGGTGTACACTGCCATGGCCACTGTCATGGAGAGGGCTGGGACGAGGACAAGAGAGATGGCTCAGCTCCTCCGCAGGAACTCACTGGCCCCCGGTGCCCAAGGCCAGCCCAGAGTCCTTACCCGCAGCGAAGGCTGTGACGGTTGCGACAAGGGGGCCGCGGCCCGGGGCAGACAGTGAGGGGATGCAGGACAGCACCAGGAAGCCCACGGACACCAGGCCCCACAGGACAGCCAGAATGCAGAAGCTCTGCGTCACGTGGATGTAGCCTGATGGGAGAGGAGACCTCTGATCACCCGTCCCCGCTGGCCATCCCCCGGCAGGACAGCCCACTCCTCCTCACCTGCTACAGAGTCTCCGTGCTCCCTTGGCCAGAGGCCTGAGTGAGCGGAGTGTGTGGGTCCCATGGCCACGAACCAGAAGTCGGTGCTCAGAGCCACCAGGGAGGACATCAGGCCCAGGGAGCCAGTGAGCAGGGCCAGGGACCGGAAGGGCTCCATGGGGTGAGCGCTGAGTTTCTGGGTCCTGGGGGGTGAAGAGGCTGCTGATCCAGACTCCCGAGTCTCTGAGAGAGGAGGAGGCTGCGCACCCGAACTCTTGGGTCCTGGAGCTCAAGCAAGAGAAGCCAGCGAGCGGCAGGGGCAGTGAGGAGTCTGTGCTCCTGCACACGAGCTGGTTCGGGTTCGCGCAGTTCCCGGTAGCTAGCGCTTTCGCACATCCTCCCTTCCTGGATTGCACATCCTACCTCCCCTCTTTGGGCCTGGTCCCCACCTAGTGTGTGGTCAGGGAGGGCCCTGAGGGTGTCAGATCATCAGTGGTTTAGATGGTGGCTGAGAACTTGCCTCTGTCTCAGGTTCTATGCCTCCCCCCTTGGAGCCCTCAGCACCAGAGGGCTTCCTGTAAGGGGTGAGAGGGAGGCTTGGGGGCCCAGAGATGAGAGGTGGCCAATCAGGCTAGGGTGTGAGTTAAATGGGAGGGCAGATGTGGCCAGAGGGGACAGTTGGGGATGTGTCATGCTTTCCTGTGGTTATACAACCTTTCATTCTGGGAGAAGAGGGCCCCAACTCTAGAGTTGTCACTAAAGGAGGGGAGTCAGAACCCCTGGGGCTCGAAGAAGAAGGGGCCTAAACGCCAGGTCCTGAGGGAGGAAGGGGCAGGTGGGGAGCTCAGCCTCTTGGGTCCCTGGCGGGAGCATTTGCTCAGGACAGGCACACGGTGGAGAATTGCAATTCCTAAAGCATGTGGAGAGGAAGACATGCCCGCATCCGCATCTGATAAATGAGTTCAGCGGCAGCTCTGCCTGGGGAGGGGCCTCCAGCGTGGTGGGCCATGTCACCAGGACCAGGGTGCCTGGGGGTGGAGAGGGGGCACAAGGGTGTGAAACACGGTCCTCTAGCCTTCTCCACCCACACCCGCATCACTTCACCTGCGAGCAGGTATAAGGTGAAGGCGCCACAGCCCAGGTAGCAGGCCCAGGAAAACGTGACCCCCATGAAGTGGGGCATGGCTGGGAAGAGGACCTCTGTCATGCAGATGAACTGGGCCAGCACTCTCGGGACTGCTGGCGAATGGGGAGAACTGGAAATGACCCAGGAGGCTGGGTCCTCTCCTTTATTGGAGGCTCCATTCGGCAGCCCCCGCCCATGCCTCCTGCCGTGAGAACATGTTTGTGAGGACCGGCTCCCCGAGCTGGGCGCAGGTCATGAGCACAGGGCCACCAGCACAGAAATGGCCATGGCCAGGGCGCTGGTGAGGCTTCAGACAGTCTGGGCCACGGTGTGTGGTGAGTAGAGGGTCAGAGCACAGAGCCCATCTGTGACCTTGACCCCATCCTTAACTCCAAACCCCAAACCCAACTTCCTCCCCATACCCAATCTCAAGCCCAGTTGCAACCACAAATTCAACCCACTCCCATCCCCGAACTTAACCCCATTCTCATTACCCAGCCCAGTTCCATCGCCAACCCCATTCTCAACCCCATCTCTAACTCTCAATTTAACCCCATCGCCATCCTCAAATCTAGTTCCATTCTCATTCTCAAACCCAACCCCATCGTCATTCCCAAACTCAACACTGTCCTTAACCCCAGCCCCAACATAAATATAAACCCATCCCCATCCACAAATCTAACCCCATTCTCATTCCCAGACCCCACCCCTCTCTATTCTTTGGACTCCCAGTCCAAACCCAGCCCATCCTCATTCTCATCCTCCACCCCTACTCCAGCCCAGCCCCCGTCCTGCTTTTTTCTTCATTCTTCTCCCCAACCCCTATAATTCCTACCTAACCCATTTTCATCCTCCTCCCACCTCCAGGTCCAAGCCTGTAACCCTGCTTCTCATCTCCCCAGGGCGGTCCCGCCTCCGTCACCACACCTGTGCACCATGCACACAGGGGCCTGTCCTGGTCTCCACACGTGTAGGCATCACAGACCGACCACAGGCCCAGACTCTTGGTGCCTGCTGGCACACACACCTCAGACCAAGGCCACCTCTTAAAAAGAGGAAGGCAAGGCAGCTGAATGCGCCTTGAAGATGGAGTTACCTCATAGGACCTGTGTCCGCTTTCGCAACCAGGTGTGGTCTGGGCTTGCCAGAGGGAAAACCCAGGCCTCCTTCTGACACTTGTCCTCGGAGCTCGTTTCCCCGCTTGACCACACTGTGCAAACTGGTGGTTTCCTTAAGTCTCTACCAGTCTTGCCCAAGCGCTGCCAGCTTTTCCAAATCACCCCGGGTCTTTTCCATCTTTCTCCAGCCCCTTCCAGCCTCTCCCAGGATTGGAATCGCCTCAGCAGCCCCCAACTGCCACAGAAGACCCCTGACATCATTGCAGGGGGCTCCGGAGGCTCCGCCAGCCCCGAGCCCACCCTGACCGCCCAGAGACCTGGTCTCTACTCTGTTGTTATTGGTTCTGTCTTCAAAGCTGATGCCTCCACCCCACAGCCCCAAGGCTCCGCCCCCAGTCTGCGACCCTCCGCCCACACCCCTGTTCCAATTATTCTTTCCTGGGCCCTCCTTTGCTTGGCCTGCTCCAAAGTGTCTCTCCTTCTGCCACTTCCCGCACATTCTTTCAGATCTCAAGAACTTTAAGGCAGGAATGAGATCTGATTACTTTTGGGGCCTCCAAGTTTGGGGGTATACATTGCACAGACAAATAAGGCCCTCGTCCTCAATGAGCCTGCTTTCTGGTTTCCATTCTGTTAAAGAATGAACGCTGTTTGTGAACAGTTACCACGGAAGGCACCATCATCTCTGTCAAGGCCCACTCTATTAACATCGGATGTGATCTAGCGTAATGATAAAAAGATACTAAATCTCAATCCGTATCATTAGAGTAGACCCCAATAAGTAATATTTTATGCAAGCCAATAAATATCACTATCAGTTGGCCTGAATAAATATTTATTGTTCAACAGATATTCTTTTGACTGATTACCATGTGCCGGGTGCTATCTTGTAAGCACTGGTGATCTGCAGGTGACCAAAAACAGACACAAATGTCTGCCTCGGCGGTGTCTACATTCCAGCTGGAGAGACAGACAATAAAATATCTAAGAAAAATATTGCATTTGTGAAAAGTGCTGTGGAGAGACAAAAGCAGGGAAGAGGAAGAGGGAATATGTTGTGGCTTTAGATAGGGTAGCAGGGGCGCCTCACTGAAAGGTAACTTTTGAGCAAGGACCTGAAAGACATTTGGGAAGAATGGTCCAGCCAGAAGTGGACACATGCCGGGACCAGCAAGGAGGCCAGCAGGGCTGGAGCAAGAGTGAGTTGGCAGGAAGGGATTTTGCCCAAAGAAACGTCTGGCCCTTGCCCAGCTCCTGGAAGGGAACCCCTAAACCCTTGGAATGTCCTGCCTGGTAAGAGTGTTTGTTTACCTGGGGGCCATGGGCCATACCAGGTAGTTAATGCTAACAACATGACTTATGGTGGGGCCTTGGGCCGCTGCATCGGTTTGACCTCTGGGGGGTTGGAGGCTGAGTGGCTGGGGTCAGCCACACGGGTGCTCCATGCCTATGAGAGTGACCCCCAGTAAAAACCATGGACACTAAGGCTCAGGTGAGCTTCCTTGGTTGGCAGTACCATGCATATTGCCGTACAGCATTGCTGGGAGACGTAAACACTGTCAGCACAACCGCACTGGGAGAGGACCGCTGGAAGCTCACACCTGGTCTCTCCAGACTCTTCTGCCCCGTGCACCTTTTCTCTTTGCTGACTTTAATCTGTATCCTTTTGCTGCAATAAAACTTAACCGTGAGTATGACAGCTTTGCAGAGCTCTGTGAATCCTTCTAGTGAATCATCGAACCTGAAGGTGATCTTGGAGACCCCTGAACTGAAGTCAGAGAGTTGGTGGGTGCCAGAGCGTGTGACCTCTCGCACAACATGGATGGACTTCAGCTTTTTACGTGAGATGGGAACCCCCGGAGGGCTCAGGGCAGAGGAGTGACACGATTCGAATCATGTTTTAACAGAACTCCCTCCGGCAGCTGTGTGGGGTACGTGCTGCGGGGGCTGGGGGGAAGCAGGCGGGCTCCGTAGGAGGCCGAGGCAATACGTCAGGCGAATGAGCACTGTGGGTGACCAAGGAGTCAAGTTCGGGATACGTCTTTAAGGAGTTTGCTGACGGATCGGATGTGGGATGTGCCGGAAAGAAAGAAACTGAGGATGATCCCGGAGTTGTTGGCTTGAGCAGCTGGATAAAAACGGAGGTGTCGTTTCCTAAGGTGGGGCAGACTGTGGGAACAGCACTCGGGTGTGTGCAAGAGAGATCGGGAACCTATTTTTAGACGTGAAATTTGAGTTGCCTCTTCTTTTCAAGTGGAAAAGTTGAGTAAGTCGAAAACCTGAGTCTGGAGTTATAATTATAACATCATTATCATTGCTAGAGTAAGCCCCTATAAATATGATTACTGGATAAGCCTTGGTAAATACCTCTATATAAATCGGCTTCAATAAATTGTTAGAGAAGCCTCCCATTGCCATTATTATTAGAGAAAGCCCCTATAAATATAATATTATTGTTATTTGAGGAGGCCCCGATAAATATTATTTTAGAGAATAAGCCTCTGTTAACATAAGTTATTAACACAGGCTGTAGTAAATATTATTATAACCAACTTTGCAAATAGTCTTATGATTTTGACAGACATTAGTAAACCTCAGCAGCTGCCATCTGTCTGTCGAATGCACTGGTAAGTGAGTGCGTGAAGACAAGGTCATGGTCACGAACGTGCGCAAGGAGGCAGGTGCAGGAGGCGAAGGCTGGAGCTCGGGTGCCTCTAGCTGGAGGGGCCCGTCCCAGGAGGGGAGGGGAGAGGAAGTCAGGGAGAGCTGACTGGAGGTGGGGAAAAGTGGGCAGGGAGGTTTTTTCAGAGATATTTTATTTACGTTATCATTCTATGCATCGGTCTCCTAGAAGCTGAACTGTGGTTAACTCCCGGGCAGGGGCCCTGTGATTAATTTCTGCTCCCATCGCTCCAAGAACTGGGAAGGTCGCGCCTCCAAGACACGGCGCCCTGCCCCACACCCGCCACACTCACACCTCTTTCTCCGCACCCCAGTCCCTCAAGGATTCACACTTGAGTAGTTTCGCATCAGTTTTATTTGACCCCAAAACATTTCTCTAACGGATATTCCATTTTTCTAACAACTTGCCTGGCACATGGGGACTTGGGTCTCCTTAGCCCCCTCCTGCCAGGCCCGGTTCTCCCTCCTTCCCACTCAGGACACAGGAGTCAGGGGCTCGCACCCAGAGTCCAGGCCCGAGCCCCCTCACGCCCCCAGGAACCAGGATTTCAGGCCCCTAGACCCTCCCCCTGCTCTCCAGTGACCTCATTCTAACTTCCAGATGAAGTTGGGGGCTCCATCGGGGCTCAGCGGGGAGTGGACAGGCGCCGACATTCATGCATCCGGTAGGCGCACATGTAGAAAATCCCTGCGTGAGAAAGACCACAGTTGGTCCCCCAGGGCCCCCCAGACCGCTGTTTCCCCCACAAGAGACCCCAGCACCAGACTCCTCTCTCCTCGGGTACCCACCTCCCCAGCCTCCTTGGGCTTGGGGTCCGCCTCCGCCCAGTGCTGTGGGTTCCACGTGGGACACCCCGCGGCGTCTCCCCTCTGAAACGCTGCCCACCCTGCAGCAGACACTGACCTTCCCTCGGCCCCAGTACCTGCGAAGAAGGTCATGAGCAGGGCCACCCAGCCCAGGATGTAAGACCAGGAAAAGCGCCAGTCCCCGAAGCGGCGGCCGAGGAAGCTGACGGTGACTCCAGTGTAAATGGCCAAGGCCAACAAGACAAAAAGGGCTGGGGAGAGAGGGCGGGAGGGTGCGGGTGGGCACAGGGTTGGGGCAGGGGTGGAGATGGGTTGGGGCGTGAGATTGGAGAAAGGGGTAGGAGTGGGGTGTGGGCGTGGGGAAGGGCTGGGGAGAGAGGGCGGGAGGGTGCGGGTGGGCACAGGGTTGGGGCAGGGGTGGAGATGGGTTGGGGCGTGAGATTGGAGAAAGGGGTAGGAGTGGGGTGTGGGCGTGGGGATGGGGGGGAAGGGGTGTTGAGTTGGAAGTGGGAGTAAAGATGATTATGGGGTAGGGTTGGGTGGGGGTGGGACAGGCTTGTGCTGTACAATAAGGAATTGGAATGGTCGCTGTCCCTGGGTCCTGGGAGACTGAGTGCTTGGAATTTCCTGTGTAGTAGGAGTGTCTTTGTTGTTCTTGAGCCCTTTGGACCACGCCTGAGTTTATGCTACTGAGATGAGATGACCCAGGCTGAGGACTGGTCACCAGAAAGACCAGCCATGTGATTAGAGGGTTGGGGCTTTGAGCCACTTGACATCAGCCCAACCTCTGGGCAGCAGAGGGCAGGCGAGACCGGGTTCCGTCAACGGCCAGTCATGCATGCGATGAAACGCCAGTGAGAACCCTGGACACGGACGCTCGGCGGAGCCTCCTGCTGGTGGACGCATCTACGTGCTGGGCGGGTGACCCCTAGTTCCACAGGGGCAGGGCCTGGAAGGGCTGCGCTTGGGGCCCTCCCAGCCTTCTCCCCACCCGTTTGCCTGGTCCCACGTTGTATTCTCTATAATAAAACTGTAATTGTAAGCTCAGCACTTTCCTGAGTTCTGTGAACTGTTCCAGCAAATTTTTCAACCTGAGTGAGTCTTGGGAGCCCCTAAATTTGTAGCCAATTGGTCAAAAGTGGGGGTAGCCTGGGGACCCCACGTGCAGCTTGTGTCTGAGGTGGGGGCAGTCTTATTGGGAACTGTGCCCTTAACCTGTGGAGTCCGACACTAACTGCGGGGGTGGGGGCGGGTGTTAGTTCCAGAACTAAATCACAGTCCACCAGTTAGTGTCAGGACAGGCTGGGACCAGAAATAGTCATGAGGCTGGCTTGGGGCGTGGGGATGGAGCTGAGAGTGAGGTGGCTGCAGGGAGTGAGAGTGGGGGTGGGGCGGGGGGTGGACTGGGGTCGGAGATGGGAGTAAGAAGTGGGGAGGGGAGGCTGGGCCCACTCACTTGAGGTGAAGAATATGATGCCGGCAGAGAAGGGCCGGGAGAAGCGGGAGAAGGTGGGCTGCTGAGCGAAGGCCAGGATGCCCATGATGATGCCGGAGGTGGCGCACAAGGCAGACAGGATCATGAAGGCCCGGGTGGCATTCCAGTACGCTGTGGGAGCACCTGACAGTCACTCCCATGCCGCCCCTGCTCTCAGTGAGGGATGCCGCTGCCTCTGGGAGAAAAATGCCTTGCCCTTCTCCAGATCCCTGACCCAGTTCCTCCATCGCTTCTTTGCAAATGCCTTCTTCTTCACCTGGCAAACTCCTACTCATCCTCCAAAGCCCAACTCCCAAGACCCCTCCTCTAGGAAGCATCCCTTCACCCCTCAGGCATCATCTTCCCCCCTTACTTGGGGTGGTTCTTTTGTCTACCCCTCCAGCCTGATGGCTGCCCTCTGAGGACAGAGTCTCATGAACACCCCAACCACAGGTTTGGTTTGCACATTGGCCTGGAGAAATGTTTGTTGAATGAATAAATAAATGAAAAATGAATGCTGATTCCTTGTATCCTCCTGGTAGTCACTATCCTCTTGTGCACTGTTCTCTTCCATTTCCTTCATACCACTTGTCTTTAATTTATTTAAAATGTCCACCTCTCCCCACTAAATTCTCAACTCTGTGAGGACAAAGGCCTTGCTATCTCTTTCATCGCCATATCCCTGGCACCTAGTGCCTGGCACATAATAAATGCTCAATAAACATGTTGGCTGAACGAATGTTGAGCACTGGGGACCACTCTTCTCCTGTGCTCCGCTCAGGGCTGGCCCTTCAGGAGATGCTGTGGGAACAATAGTCATAATCTCATCCTCCATTTAGCCACGGCCACCTACGTGCCAGGTTTGCTTCCCAGGTATGATCTTATTCCTTCCACGAGCCCTATGCTGTAAGTACTATTTTAATTCTCATTTTTCCGGTGATGAAACTGAGGCTCAGAGAGGTAAAGTGACTTCCCCGAGGCCCCATAATTAGAATCAGGGCAGAGTTGGACCCCAACTCCAGCGCCCACACTCTTAACTGCTTGGCTGTCCCCTCGCTCGGAGCACCCGGGGCAATTGTACACGTCAGGCAGAACTTGGATCCTGCCATTGAAAAGTATTATAAAAACCTAGGATCTTTGCAAAATGCAGTCTTCTGGGCGAGCCTAAGTGAGAGAAATTCCTGGCTGTTTCTCCATGGATGTTATTACAGGCTGAGTTATGCCGCCTTGTCCCCCAAATGTATATGTTGAAGCCGTAACTCCCAGGGCCTCAGAATGGTGCCTTATTTGGAGAGAGGGTCATCGCAAATGTAATTAGTTAAGATGAGGTCATGCTGTGGTAAGGTGGGCTTCTAATCCCATGACCGGTGTCCTACATGAAAAGGGGAAATGTGGACACAGACACACACACAGGAGGAAGAAACTCTGTGATGAAGGTAGAAACAGAGGTGCTGCGTCCACCAGCCACAGGACGCCAAGGATGGCCAGCAAAGCGCCAGAAGCCGGTGGAGGGGGAGACGTGAAACAGATTCTCCCTCACGGCCCTCAGGAGGAGCCAACCCTGCAACACCTTGATCATGGACTTCTGGCCTCTGCAGCCAGGAGACAAAACACTTCTGTAGTTTAAGCCCCCAGTCTGTGGTACTTTCTTACAGCAGCCCTAGAAAACTCAAACAGAGGTCTCTGGGTATTTAAAAGTCTGGAGGACTTACGGGGCTTGTTATAGCTTATTTCTTTCTTATGTTTATGCCAGGAGTGGAAGACGCACATGCCTTTGAGGGCTGGGGACAGCTGCGAATGAAGGCACGGGGTCTGCTGGGGGACAGGCTGGGGTGGAGACGAGGATGAACGGGACATGCATGTCCCGTGTGCCAGCTGTCGATGCGTTGCCTTTCGGCTCCACTTTTACGGAGAACCTTCCCCATTCAGATTACCGTGTGGTTTCTGTCTCTGGAAGGGGCCACGACATGACTGCTATGCCCCATTCGAAGGGGTAGCCACTGCTCATACCCAGTTTTTGTCCTGGGGCATGCAAAATTTGGAGTTTTTTTCTGTTTTTTTTTGGGGTGGGTGGGTGGGAGGTTGAGTTTTTTTGGTTTTTTGTTTGTTTGTTTTGAGACAGGGTCTCGCTCTATTGCCCTCACTAGAGTGCAGTGGCGTCATCAAAGCTCACTGCAGCCTCAAACTCCTGGCCTCAAATGATCTTCTGCCTCAGTCTCCCAAGTAGCTTGAACTACAGGTGTGTGCCACCATGCCTAGCTAATTTTTCTATTTTTTTTTTCTTTGTAGAGATGGGGTCTTGCTCTTGCTCAGGCTGGTCTTGAGCTGGCCTCAAGCAATACTCCCACCTCGGCCTCCCAAAATGCTAAGATTACAGGCGGGAGCCACCCGGCGAGTCTATATTTTTATGTAAAAATCTCCAGATTTTTAAATACTGGTAACTAATTCAGAAACCTTAAAAACACCAGCAGACCCAATAAAACCCACTGGAGGTTGGGCTTGGCCCCTGGAATCCAGTTAAGGGCCCCTACTTCAATTTTGGTGAGTGAGTCGCAGTTGATGAGCAAGTTAAGCCAGCTGCGTCAACAAACGCCCAAGGGCGAGGTATGTCCCTGAGGTTTTGTTTCTGTGGTCCTGAGCATGTCGAATGAACCCAAGACCTTTACCGAGCCTCCTACTCTCCCCAACCCCCAGCAGAGACAAGACATGGAGGTGACTCTGATCTGTCCCTTGGGGCGTTCCCAGTCTGAGGTAGGAGAAAAGGTCACAAATGAGACAGCTGAGGGTGAAGTCAGGCAGGCTGGGCTCTGAGGCTGGCGGCCAGGGACAACCCTTTCCTCTTCTCTCTGCCTCAGTTTACCACTCCGGCAAACAGGCATCACGCTGCCTCGGGCTGGTTCAGTGGGATGGGGCCAGGGCGAGCCCTGGGCGTGACAGGCACAACCAGGGCTCCCTGAGGGGCAGCTCCTCCTCTCACCCGCCTTCAAGAGAATGTTTGAATTTTGAGGTCAAACCTCACGTTCTCTTCCTGTATGCAGTTGACCCACCCTTTACTGTTGCTGGGAGAAGGAATAGAATTAATATATGTGAAGTGCTCAGAGTAGCACATAGGGCATAGTGAGCACTCGATAAATGCCAGGTATTATTATTACTACTATTAGTAGTAGTAATATACAATATATTATATATTGTTAATTTAGTACATAATATTTAGTGTACGATATAGACAATATATTATGTATTATTAATTTATCACATAATATTTAGTGTAATATGATGTATTAGATATATATTATTAATGTATTAGCATATAATATATGACATGCATCATATAATACGATATATATCTCCATGTACCGATCTCTTTCTCTCTCTAGATATATATTTACCTAACACGGCCTGGCACGTAGTTAAGTGGTAAAACATACTTCATCCAGTACTTAGCATTTCAGGCTCCTATTGCTTCTGTATCCCCCAGCACCTAGCATAGTTCTTGGTCCATGGCGGATATTTAGAAAATGCTGTTCTGGCAACCCCACCCCAACTGCTAAGCCTGACACCTTCTATGTGTCAGGAAATGCCACCTCTCTGACTTAACCTCCAAACCGGTACACCCTGTAATTATAACGAGAAAACAACCCTGAGATCCCAGTTCTGCCCGTTCCATGCTGAGTGACCTCAGGCTGGTCCCTTTCCCTCTCTGAGCCACAGGGTTTCCTGACCGGGATACAGGTGGCCCTTGAGCCCTGAAGCTCTGCCCCGCACAGCCCAGACCCTGGCCAGGGGCTCACCGACGCTCTCTGTCTGCAGGTAGCACTTGCCGCCCAGGCAGTACCGCCACAGGCCCTGGTGAGCGAAGGCCCCCGACAGCCGGTACTGCATCCAGTGGTCTGTCGCCGTGGCCACCACCAGCAGGATGGTCCCCACCCAGGCACAGAAGAGGCCACCACCCATGAAGCTGTACATGTTGATCTGTGGGGAAGCGGAGAGATAGGGTTGGGAGCTGGATTCCAGGTCCTGACAGAGGAAGGGACTGGGGGGAGGGGGAGGGGGACACCTGTTTCCTGGGAGGAGCCGGAGACCCAGGCCCCTGGGTCCTGGGGAGGGGGGCTGGGCCCCTGGGTCTGAGGGAGGCGGGGCTGGGTGCCAGAAGCCCTGGGTCCTGGGGGAAAAGGGGCTGGGGGACCTGGAAGGATCAGAGGGAGGAAGGGCTGGGGACCTGGACTTCTAGGCTCTGAGCAAGGAATGGTCCTGGATTCTCGGGTCCTAGGTGAGGAGGGGACTAGGGGCTGGGCCACCAGGTCCCTGGGAGAGAAAGGAGCTGGGAGGAGCCAGACCCCTGGGGAAGGAGGAGGCTGCAGGCCATGCCTGGTGCCTACCTGAGTGGCAGAGCCTGCCCCAAGCCCTCCTTCTGCCTCGGCCCCTCTGTGCAGACTGAGCTGAGCCAGGTTTCTGGCCTCTCTGCACCCTTGGGTCCCCCAAATCCCTTAAGCCTCCCCACACAATGGCCCCGAGGCCCAGCAGCTTCCAGCAGGCAGAAATGCAGCGCTGGCAGAGGCCCCCGTGGAATTTGCTGAAGCAGGGATCGGGGGCTCCCCGCCCCCAGCCCCTGGCTCCCTGGCCTCCCTCTGTGACCCTCCGCAGACCCTGCCACCTTTGCACAAGCCTTGCTCACAGCGCCGCGGGGCTGGGCTGGCCTGAGCCGTGTAAGCACACACACAGACACACGAGACATAGGGACAACCATCTGTTTATTGTTCAACTGGGGCTTCCTGCCTGGAGAGCAGGAAATGGGGTGAGGTGCTACAGGCGTCTAAACACCTTGGGCCAACGGCGCTGTCTGTGGGGTGGCGGCGGGGGATGCCACAGCGGGGGCTGGGACAGAAGGGGGGTTGAGGATGGGGCTGTTTGGGGGAGCAGTTAAAGACGAGGACTGGGCTGGGCTGAGGCACGGAGGGAATGAGGAGAAAGAGGGTGGGGTCGGGCTGGGGCTAGAATGGGAATGAAGGGGTTTGGGATTCGGGGTTGAGAGTGGGATGGGGCTGGGCTGGACAGGCAGGTGGCAGTGGCTTTGGGTTAGGAAGTGGGTCGGGGATAGGGCTGGAGGCCCTGGGGGTTGGGAATGAGGTTCTGGCTGTAGTGGTAGCTGCGGGTGGTGCTGGGAACGGGGTTGAGGCCGCCGGGGGGACAGGCATGGGTGTGGGCGTAGGTGTGAGGTTCAGGGTTTTCCTCTGGTCTGGAATCCTGAGTCAGGTGACTTAGGTCAGGGCTCATCAGGTGAGTTGAAGGACTTACTTCTGAGGCCACGGTTTGGGGGGTGGGGGAGAATGGGGACAGGATGTTTCTTGGGGTTCCTCAGGCAGGGCTAATGTCACTCTGGGCTCCAGGAAAATCCCCCGGAGCGGCCTGAGTCCCGGGTGCTGGACCCTCCAGCATCCTAGTACTCTGTCTCCCAGTCCTCGGCAGCAGGTGGAGTCTGCAGGGCGGACTCCCCACCTCGGGCCTCCTTCTTCCCGTCCTCGGCCGGCGGTGCTGGTGGCATTCTGGGTGGGGTCTTGGGGCCAGCCCCAGGAACCCCCTGCCAGTCCCTCTCTGCCTGCTCCGCTCTCCCACGCCCCCATCGCTGCTGTCTCTGGCCCCAGCCTGGCCTACGTCGGCCTTCCCACCCCCCACAGCCCCTGGGAGGCCTCCTGGCTGTGCCCCACTGGGTGTGGCATGCCTGGGGGCAGCAGGGGCAGGAGGGCAAGGACTGCTGGAGGGTGTGAGCCCCCAGCAGGGCGCTGTGCAGGAGGCAGGAGAGGGTGTCCAGCCGGATGGGCACAGTAACAGAGGCCAGGCTCTCGGGGAGCCCCAGGTGGGCAGGGTCTGGGGCACTCAGCAGCGAGGCTGGCAGGGCTGGCATGGGTGCGGGGGGCGACGGCTCAGCTCCAGGTGACGGCAGGGACAGGTTGTTCCTAGAATGACAGCAAGACAGGTCAGTGGGTCTCACCGTCTCCGAATTTCTCCCCTTGCTGCTGCCGGCTGCCCTGCAGGTCTGCGGCGGTCCTCTCTCCCCATCCTCAGTCTGTCCCCCTCCGACCTCCTCGCTCTTCCCTTCTTTCTCTACTTGTGTCCACCTGTGTCCCCTTCCAGAGAGACAGACAACTGTTCCCTTCAGGGTCAGACAGAACTCAGTTTCAACTCCCGCTGTCTTGCTTGTGGTGCAGTCATTTTCCCATCCTGAACCTTAATTTTTCGTACCCAAAGATGGCCTTCAGTGGTACCAACGGTGCGTGTAGAAGGGCTGGTAAATGTTCAAAAACTGCGGACAGTTATTATTCCTCTAGCCCTGCGGCTGTCTCTGGCATCTTCAAGTCTCCTGGTTCATTTTTGGAAGTTTCTCTGTTTGATGAATGAATATCTGTTTCTAGCTCTCTCCCTATTTCTAAATATCTCACCCAACTCTGTCGCCAAGGTTCTCTAAGATTCTGTTTCTATGTGATGATACCTGAGCGATTTTTTATTTTTATTTTTATTTTTTGATACTCTCTCTGGGTCTGTTCAACTCTCTGCGAGATTCTGTGTCCCCTCGTCTGTCTGGGTCTCTGTCCCCCTCTGAGGGGGTCTTTGTTTCTCTCACCCTTCGGGCTCAGCCCCGTCCTTTAGCTGTTCCATCTTTAGAGGGGTCTCTGAGACGTCTTCTGGCAACTTCCCCTAGATCCTTCCAGAGCCCTGGAAGGTGGAGGCGGGGCCCAGGAAGAAAGAGGGCGGGGCTTTGGCCAACTCGGAAACCGGGCGTGGCTCGGGCGCGCAGAGCGGCGGACGGGGTGCGGGTCCTGGTCGCAGCACCGCGGCCGAGCTCAAGCCGGCGTTTCTGGGCCCACAGCCCTCGCCTCCCCGACCCGGGACTCCGGCCCCAGCCCTCCTCCGTCACACCCCGGGGGTCCGGACTGCAAGCCCCTCCTCCCTCAGACCCGGGGGTCCGGGCCCCAGCCCCCGGCCCCCTTCATCTCTCGGATCCAGGAGTACCAGGCTCCCAGCCCTCCCTCTTCCTTTTTCTCTCTTTCTCTCTCTTTCTTCCTGTCCGTGCCCTCAGGACTTTAGGACTACAAGGACGTTTTAGGTAGTGAAATCTGGACATTTGGACACCCCCAAGGGCAGAGGGCATAGTAGATGGTCTGGGTCTTAGCAATTCCAGGGGCTGTATTCTACTCTGTGCTCTGTCTCTGACTGGCGTTGCGACCCTAGGTCCTTCTAGTCTCTATGCCTCAGTTTCTCCATCTGACAAATGGGGCTAATATTTCCATCCAGGTTTTTGTGAGGTTCTTGTGATGCCACATGTGTAAGGTAAACACAGAGTCTGGACTACAGGTAGGCTGAATAAGGGAGATTTACTTACTTTTATTGTTGGTAGTCATGGTAGTATTTTATTGAGAAGCAATTGTCGTTCTTACATCCAGTCATTTCAGAAATAGTTATTCAGTGCCTGCTACGTGCTGGGCTCCAGGCTGTGCACCGGGGCCGAGATAAATGCAGCCCCTCTGCTCAGGAACTTGCATACTTGTGAGGGAGACAGAAAGAACATAAACAGTACATTTTCTATAAGAATAAGTACCTGAAGGTGCGAAATCTGGGCCAGGGGATGTAGAGGCACTGGGGGGAGGGGATATCTTAAGTAAGGTGGTTAGGAAAGGCTGTTGTGGAAGGTGCCAGAAGACCTAGAAGTTGAATATTCCTGGTGGAGGGAACAGCCTCTGAGGGTAGAACAAGCATAGTGTTTGAGGGACTGGAAAGGAATCAGCGAAGAAGAGAGAAACAGTTCTTTTTTAAAAAAGTTTTACTTTGGAGTACTTTCATATTTACAGACGTTACAAAGATAATACAGAGAGTTCCCGCACACTCATGACTCAGTTCCCCTAATGGTACCATCTTACACCGTCATGGTACATTTGTTGCAACTAAGAAACCAACAGAACTGTGAAGTAAATTCCATGCTTTATTAGGATTTCACTGGTTTTTACACTAATATCCTTTGTTTCTTGTTCCAGGATCCAATCCAGAATATCTCACCGTATTCAGTTATCCTGTCTCCTGGGTTTCTTCTGATCTGTGGCTGTTTCTTGGTCTTTCCTTGTTTTTTATGCTCTTGACAGTTTTGGGGAGTACTAAGGACCAAGTACATTTTATAAAAGGGAGGTCTATTTTAATTGAATAATACTAACTCCTTTAATCCTTATTTCACAGATGACCAAACTAACTTGCCCAACGTCCGCAGAGCTAGTCAGTAGCACAGCTGGAATTTGAAACCAGGCAGCCTGGCTATAGATTCTGTGCTTGGCAGTTTTTTCTTGTTATTGTTGTTTGTTTTTTTGACACAGGGTCTTGCTTGTTGCCCAGACTGGAGTGCAGTGGCAAGATTGTAGCTCACTGCAGCCTTGAAGTCCTGGGCTCAGGTGATCCTCCTGCCTCAACCTCCTGAGTCCTAAGTAGCTGGAACTCTATGTACCCACCACCACACCCTACTATTTTTTGAATTTTTTGTAGACAGGGTCTTGCTCTGTTGTCCAGGCTGGTCTCAAACTCCTGGCCTTGAGCAATCCTCCTGCTTTGGCCTCCCAAAGTGCTGGAATTACAGGCTCGAGTCTGCGCTTTTAATAGAGACACAAGTAGGAGCTACATATATGGGGCCTTGTAGGCGCAATAAAGATTTTTGACTTTTTATTTCTATTTTTTAATTATAAGAGTATTGAGATTACTTTGAACATTTGTAATTAGAGGGGTGACATACTTCGACCTATGTTTTAAGATGAGCACTTAGCGGTTTGGAGAAGGGATTGTGATGGAAAGCAGGAGTGGCAGCAGAAAGCCTAGGGAGGATGCTGCTGTCTTCCAGCAGAGGAGTGGTGGCAGCTCCAGGGAGGGCAGGGGTAGTGGAGATGGGGAGATATGGGTGGATTTGAGAAGTATTTTGGCGGAAGGGCCGTTAAGACTTGCTGCTGGACTGCTGAGAGTGGGTAAGGGGGAGCCCAGGATGGTGCAAAGTTTTTAGCCTGAGCAGCCCCTTTGAATATGCATTGTCTTACAAGAAGTTCACGACATTGCATTTTAAGGATGAGAAATCCCGGGGAGTAGGATCGCCCGGTGCCGGATGATGCTGGTGACCCTGAGTGGCCGGAGTAGAAGGGTTTTTATCAAGAGAGCTGGCTTTCTTTCCTTTCCTGGTGACTGTGAGAAGAACCCAGATCTTTAAGTCTGGGTTTATCTTTCTGGCTACCTCATATCCCAAAAAAGTCGAGACAGAACTCAGAAGTCCGCGTTCAAATCTCCGCTCCGGTACTTACAGGCGCGTGACCTTGACCAAGCTGCCTAAGCTTGCCGAGTCTCCGTTTCTTCGCGAGATGGCGCTCAGTGCTCAATTCCCGCGTGACGGGATCCCTCTAGCTTGTTTTATTGCTTCTCCTACTACTGTGATCGGGGTCCGACTCCGCTTGGAAACCAACGGTCCGACCTCTTCGCTTATTACGTATCTGGCGCTTTAAGCTTGCCCCTCCCTCGCCCGCCGCCTTGTGTCCTGCCAGGCTGAGAGAGCGGGGGCGGGATCTAGGTTGCTAAGGAAATGTCTTTTACTCACCATCCAAAATTGGCAGGCAAGTTCTGAAAAGGGACCAATCAATTTCTGCGTCGGGGGAAGCGAGGCTTCAGATTTGCTGGGAAACTCCAGCGACGATTGGTTAGAGTTCTTGTCTCGTAACGTAGCGTATGCCATCGCTCTCAGCTCTGATTGGCCAGAGAGCTCGTGTCACTCCTGAGTTCCCGCCCCGTTCCTCTCTCATTGATTGGCTGCGTTTCTAAACCCCAGACTCGCCCTCACCCTCTGATTGGCTACCACCTTTCCGTGTCTTCTTGAGGCGTTGTTGCTTTGGCCTTTGTCTGCACTGGGTCTGGGTGGCCGCGGCGGCGTCTGGACGATCCAGCCCAGGTCTGGAGAAGCAGAACGGAACCTGGGAGGGAGAGTGGGCACTGGGTTGAGGGGAGAATCCTGCTCAGGCATCTCCTTGGCCCAGCGGGGAGCACATTGCCCCATCCACCGCTTGGGACCAACCCTTTCCTTATATTTGCCCCCCTCCGGCCTTGGGCCAGCAGTTCAAAGATTCGATCTTCGGGGCCTCCCCATCCCACAGGGGCTCACGGAGTCCCCGAAATTGCCCCTCTTTCCACCCGACCCTTACTCCCCCCACCACCCCCAGATCCCCGGGTCCCCGCCCTTTGCCTTGAGGCTTCCCAGTCGTTCACCCCCTGCAGCTTGGGACCCTTCCGAGGGCAGGGTGGGCGCCAGGGCCTCCCGATCTTGCCGCTCCTATCCTTACATCCTCTCTCCTCCCTCTTCTTTCTAGGTCCTGGTGACCATCCTTGCCTCCCTTCCCTGGAATTTCCCCACGCCCAGAGGTGCTCACCTCACTGCTCCCCTCTCGGTCCCTTCAAGTTCAGGGGTCACGTCACCTTTAGGCTTTGCCCTGGGAGTTCTACTTCTTCGTCCCCTCTTCCCCTTCTTTCTAGGCCTTAGGCCCCTCAGAGGACCCGGGAAATCGTGTGGAATACAAGGAGTGGTCTCTAGCCCACATGGTCCGTGTCTTGGTCAATGACTTAGCCCATTCTTCTCGCTGCTCTAACAAGATACTATAAACGGGGCAGTTTATAAACAGCAGCAATCTGGAGGCTGGGAAGGGCAAGATGCAGGCGGTGGTAGATTCGGTGTCTGGCGAGTGCCCTCCTCCTGTCTGGTAGGTGGTGCCTTCTCTCTGTGTCCTCTCGTGGTGGAAGGACAAGGCAGCTTGCTGGAGCCTCTTTTGTAAGGTCACCAATTCCGTTCACGAGGGGAGGCTGAGTGACCTAATCACTTCCCAGACACTTAAGAGGCCTGAAGAAGTTTTATAGTCAACAACCATACACTCACCACCTAGATTCATGTTTATTACATGTCTATCTATTCCTTCATCCTTCTGCTAATCTGTCTTTTTTAATGCATTTCACAGTAAGTTGCTGTCATTAGTACCCTTCACCCCTAAGCACTGCAGCACAGGTGTCATTAACTAGAGTTTGGTACTTGTTCCATTCGAAGGAAAGTTCACAATGAAGTGCACGAATCTTACGTGTATCATTTGAATACTACCCCCAGCCCCCAATATATACCTTCCTGCCAAGATACAGAACGTTACTGTCACCCCAGGAAGTTCCCTCTTGCTCCTTCCTAGTCAGTCCCTGACACCCCTCTCCACAGGCAACCAGTGTTCTGCTTATTTTTCACCATAAATTCATTTTGACTAGGCCTATGTGAGCTAGATCTTGTAGGATGTAGGAATTTGCTAGACAAAGACCATTTCAGGCACAAAAGAAAATTATGTGCAAAAATCAGGGAAATATTAATAAACAGTATGTTTGAAGATTTGTCAGAAGTGATGGAAACAAGGCCAAAAAGGTAGATAGGACTAGCTGATAAGCGGCCTTGATTATCAGGAAGAGAAGTTTCAACTTGTGCCATAATAGGCAGGGGAGAGCCTGTAGAAGTTTTTAAGCAGAGGGAATGGCACAGTTGGTTAGATAAGTGTTTTAGAAAAGTCATTCTGAAGTCAATGTGGAGGGGCAAGAAAACTTAGGAATCTATTACAATAATGAGA